AAAAAAAAAAAAAAAAAAAAAAAAAAAAAAAAACCTCAGACTCATAGCAACCACAATACTCATCAGTTTGCAAACCAAACTCCAATGATAAAATATTACAACATGTTATCTCAGTCTTCAATGTCACGATAAATATTGAACTTCCTGCCATCTGAAGTACATCTGAATGCTAGAAAGAGCACAAAATGTAGCAGTTCGTATAGAATAATATGCCTAGAACTTGTATGGTTAACAGAGTTTACAATGGAGAACAGACAAAGAGAGAAAAGATGGAATCAAATGGAAGACAACGGTGAAAAATCTGAAAACAAGTAAGTTGATGAATGAACTTGGCTTTACCTCTGTGAACAATGCCCAAAACTCTGCTTCAGTATATTATAAAGTGTATGGAACTTTCAAAATCATTCAGCTACAAATAGAGAGCTTTCCTGTCCACTCATCAGCTACCCCATAATCAAGGCTGAGCTCTCTCATGGGAGGGATGTTCTCCATTGCAAATAGCATAAGGTGAGGGAACATCAAATTGTTGTGATCATACAGAACAAACTGAACCAACACATTGGGAGCTGAACTATGACTCATATAACAAGCAACATTCCTCATTCTTGACACATCCATAGCAAAATCCAAAGGAGGGATTGCCGGATACGATGGACGCACATAATTGGAGTCTATCGGAGACAAGTCCCCCCATTCTGCCCACCTATCAGTAAACCGATTAGGATATATCAACGAATCCCCGTTCATTGTCAAAAGCTGTGCTTGCTCCCTAGTCAGAAAAACCCCAGTGTACTCACAGATAAAAGCACCAGCCTGAATAAGGTCCAAGGACCTAACTCCCCAACCAGTTTCCCTAGATCTAAACACCTCCAACCTATATTTGAGCCCCTTTTGCGTGACACGGTTACGACAATGAGGAGGACAATTACAAAACGGGCCACACTCAAAAATCAAAGGCTTCCCCCTCAAGAGAATCCCACTCTGATTATAAGAAAACTCCCCTCCATTCTTCATAGCACAAAAGCACCCCTCAACACACCCATCCACACATTCACAACCCGTCCCCCTCCCACTCTGATGAAACACAAACTGCGGAAAATTCGTCTTGACAAGATACTCAAACCGAAGAGGGTCATAGTTCCTATCAATGTCATTGAAAAGCCGAACTGGCACACTCTCCTTCCCATTCGAAATGTCAAGCGACATACAACACATGGGCTTGAAACACAAGGGATCCTTCCTAAGCATAAGCGCCTCCCTCATCATGGCGCTGCCCATCTTAGACTGCCCATCAATCCTACAGAGCTTATACTTATAAACCCCAAAACCAGACTTGCCAACATCAAACCAGCACTCAAGAATCCTATACAAGCCATCATACACATAGACCTTCCCAGAGGCAGAGGAAGTGCCATCATACCGCACACCGCGAATAACCCTCACCTCAATCCCATAGTACATACTCCTCTCCATGGCAAGGTTCCCACCCTCAAGCTTCTGGTGAAAAACCTGCCTAGAATGCTTGTCCTGGCCACCGTGGCCAGAGTAGATGATGACATCACCCTCATCAACATCATCCTCATACCCACCAGAGACAATGACACTGGTGGCAATAGGCTCACCATTGGAACTCATGCTAGCAGGGAGATAATCAATCCCAGCCTGAGGCTGACCGTGCAATCCAACCACACACAGTTCCATTCTATAAAGGAAAACGTCGCCAATGCAAACGCCAGGAATTGCACCAACAATTCTCTTGTCGCGGTTAAGCCACAACCCGCAGTTCCGCATCACCGCCGAGGCGCGCAAGTCGGAGCGCGCGCGGCGGGCGTCCACCCGCCGCTCGTCCTCCACCGTGGCCAGCACGCGCAGGGAGTCGTACACCATCCTCGTGCGGCGGACCACGTCGCGGAAGTGGAGATGCTCCGCCCCGCCGAGATCCGTCACACGAACAAGCTCCTTGCAGCGGCGCCTCGGCGTGGTGGCGGTCGCCACCGCCGCGGAAGAAGAGGGGCCGTCCTCCTCCGGGACCGGCACGATTGCCCGCGAATCCGGGTCCGGGACGGCGG